AGATGTCTCATCAGTAAAGGTGCTTGCAAGGTTTTGATCCCAGGGACCAGGGTTTGATCCATCAGTAAAGGTGCTTGCAAGTAAGCTGGATGACCAGGGTTTGATCCCAGGAACCCATGTAAAGGTGAAAAAAAGGAACCAACTCCACATAGTTGCCCTCTGACCTCTACAAGTGCATTGTGGCATGAATGCCCACATATACATCATGCATACACAGTGATGATAATAACAAACATTTTAAATTAAACCATAAGGGATATTAATACCCTCCTCCCGGGAGACTTGGGGATGAGCATGTGCTCTGAGGTCTGCTCAGCAGTTGTGGAGCCCTGTGTAGCTTACACTGAAAAGAGATTGCATTTTTTTTTTTTACACTGTTTCCCACTTTGCTTGTTTTTGTTCTTGTCCACATAATCCACTCATGGCAGGGACCCAAGGTGACCTTCAAAATCCAGTCAGATTAGGTCCAAACCTTCTCAGAAAGATTAAGAGCCAATGTCCCTACAGCCCCAAGGGTCCAATAGCTGCATGACCCTGGCCTGCCTTGTCCTGAGGCTTTTCCCCTCTCATTAACATAAACAAAAACTTGAAAGAAAATGAGCTAATGGTTGTGATTCCAAACACAACACAGATGTTAGGGCGGGCTGTAGATACAGCTAGGGAGACGGGGCAAGAGGAAGCATCTACAAGTTGGGAGGAGGGGTAGACCCAAGTTGTTCCCAGAGGCGTCTTCCGGGCAGGGAGCTGTGCACTGGCTGTGGCTAGGGGATGCCCTTCTGGAAGTTTCCCTGGCACAAAGTTGTGTCTTAAGAAGGCTGCATCTGAAGTTGTGGTTACTCCTGGCCTTTGCTAGAAAGATGTCCTTGTAGGAGGGACCCAAACAACAGCAACCTTGTTTTGGCAGAATTCTTACCAAGGCTCTTGTTTATCAAGCCAATATGGGTGAGGATGTGCTCAACTCTGCTTTATCTGGGTTTGTCAGAGGTGAATCCATATTGATCCTGACAATTTTAACACTCCCTTTCACCCTCTGGCCTCCTTGCTGGTCCCTCGTGGTTCCTCCTGCCAACAGCACCCTTACTTCAGAGGCAGCCTGCGCTGCCTTCTCCTTCAGGCTGTGCCACACATTCCATTTAATTTTCTAACCACCCGTGTTACTGACTCATCTTGTTGCTATCACAAAATATCCAGCAAAAGCAACGTGAGAAAAGATGGATTCATTTTGGGCTCACAGTTTGAGGTATACAGTCCATCACGGCAGGGAGGTCAAGGTGAGAGGCAGCTGGTCACATGGCACCCACAGTCAGCAAACAGGGAGAGATGAATGCCGCTGCTCCACTCGATTGGTCCTTTACTTTTCTTCCAGGACCCCTGTCCATGGGGCAGTGTTGCCCACATTTAGGGCGGGTCCTCCCACCTCAGTTAACCTAACCTAGAGAACCCCTCACAGATGTGCCCGGGATCTTGTCTCCTGAATGAGTCTAGAGCCTGTTAGGCTGACCATCAGTCTCCGCCATCACACCGTATTTGAAGGAGAAATGCCCCCCTGTAAACTCACAGACTTGCACACCTGGCCCTTGCTGCTGGTGCTGTGTACAGTGGGATGTGATCAGCCATCTTCCTTCCCCTGCAGCCATGCTATGAACTCTAGCTCTCTAGAACTCTAAGCCAAACACGCTGTTCCTCAACTTGCTGGCTCGTGGTATTTTATCACAGGAGAAGAGAAGTAACCAATGCACCACCCCCAACCAAAGCTAAATGGTATCTCAGCCCCCAGATAAGGAATCTGGGCCTCATGGAAAGCAAATGACCTGTCCAAGCCAGAATCAGTGACTGCATCCACTTGGTCAGCAGCCCGGACCAGTGACAGAGCCTGACTCCCACAGTCCCAAAGCACTGAAAGGTGGTTTGGTTTGTTTTGGTTTGGTTTGGGGGTGTCTTGTTTAGCTCACAGGGCTGAAGTATAGTGGTGTGAAGGAGCTGGATCTACTTTGGGCCCTTTTGTCTGCTTTTCCCAAAGTTCAACCTTCCTAGTGTTCAGCTTTATCATCCTGCTGGCATGGGCTGACAGCTTCAGCAGTCTTGGAGAATTGACTCTCTAGACAACACAGGCAAAAGACAAAGAATGTCGTCAATGGTGACTCTGGAAAAGGCAGTACTTCATTCCCGAGCCTTCCAGAAAACCCTTTTCCAAATTTCTGTTATTCCCAAGTGTATGTTATGCTCAATTCCCACAGATGGGCATGGGGTGTTGAATGATTGGCTTCAGCCATAGCCACTTGCCTTTCTCCTAGAGGACACAGAGAAGTTTCTGCCCAGTCTTGGGTTTTTAACCTCCAAAGCTGTGTGTTTGTAAGGTACCCAGCCTCAGATAGGTGGTCACAGCAACACCAGTCAGACTAACACAGAGGATAAGGGATTGTGGGCTCCCTAAGAAGACCTGTATATTCTAACTTGGAAAAATGCCTGTGAAACATGGATAAGTCTAAAAGTCAGGTCACTTTCAGGGTGACCTGTAGCAGGAATCTTAGAAGGTCTTATTAATAAAAACAAACCTGGAGCAAGGTATTGGGGTGAATGCTGGAAGATCAGAAAAGCAGAACAAGCCACAGCCACCTCACCTTGCCAGTTCCTCAGCTGATTCTGTTTCCTCAGACTGGAAGCCTCTAAGTCCTTATCCAAATGGATCTCAGCTGAACTGCTTTTTGAAAGCCTAAAAGCTTAACCAGGCTAGTTCCTGGTTTTCATGCCTTATATACCTTTCTGCTTCTGCCCTCACTTCCTGGGATTAAAGGCATGAGTCACCATGCCTGGCTGTTTCCAGTGTGGCTTTAAACTCACAGAGATCCAGATGAATCTCTGCCTCCCAAGTGATAGGATTAAAGGCGTGTGTGCCACCATTTGCTGGCCTCTATGTCTATCTAGTGTCTGTTCTGTTCTCTGACCCCAGATAAGTTTATTAGGATACACAATATTTTGGGGAACACAATACTACCACAATATTGCCACTGACCTGTGGCAATAACTTCATAGAACACACTAAAGTCCCAAGTTATGTGAATACATGTTTACATAAGCAAAGGGTGAAACAGAAGAGAAGCTAGCCAGTGCAGTGTGACATTTGGACCATGGAGAAACAGGGGAGCATAGAAAGGGAAATCAAGGGGCTGTGGAGATGGCTCAGGCAGAAAGGTGAATGTGGATCTCCAGAACTGTGTGAAACACTGGTTGTCCCAGGGTACACCTGTCATCTCAGTGCCGGGGAGGCAGAGACAGGAGGGGGATGGGAGCCTGCTGGCCAATGTTAAGAGACGCTGTCTCTATGAATAAGGTGAAAAAAAATGCAGGAAGACCCCCAAGATTGAGCTCTGACTTCAAGATCCACATGCATGCATGTGAGTGTGCAAACGCACACATACTTGTGCACAAACATATACAACACACACACCTACACACATACATATGCACACATGTACACACATACACACACACACACACACACACACACACACACACACACACCGTATGCACACATGCACACAATGGGAACTCACAAACATCCTGCATTCTTTGACTCATTCTAATGAGCTGGATTCACTGTCAGGACATAAATACTAAAGTTTTTAAAGAACAGGCAAAATGGAAGACAGCTGAATAAAAGCTGCACTCAAAGGCTCCAGAACCCTCCCTGTGACTGCAGGTATGCCAGGCGTGGAGCTACTCAGGTGGGGGGGGGGCACAATAAAGGCTGATGCCCCCCTCACACAGACACTACAGAGCACTCAGGAAGATGAACTTGCCTGCCTGTCGGTGTTAGGGATGAGGAAACAGGAGGGCAGTGTTGCCTGATCTTGGCTTGGGGACACAAAGACACTGAAAAACAAACATGGGTCATCCCAGCTAGGACCTACCTGGTGAAGACAGCCTCATCCTTGAGAACCCACTAAGTACTGTTTCTCACCAGGGAGCTGGAGTGCTCATGATAACAAAGCCACAGCTCTGCTGTGTGCTGTGAGTACCGTGTTGGTGCCTGAGGCCACCGTTGCTTTTTCTGTCCACTGTGGCTGACCACATTGGCCATGCCTCTCACATACACAGTCCCCTGGGCGCCCTTGCACCTGCTCCAGCAGCTGACCTTCATGTGCCTACCAAGCCAGCTCGGCTTGTGCCCTTATCTGTGTACAAGGGCCTCATTCCAAACAGCAAAAGACCCATTGCACATGCTGTGGTGACAGAGAAATGTACTTATGCTCAGATTCCCCATCAGTCCTTTGGATCTAGTTTCTTCGCATGCCAAATGGGAACAAGAGCCGACTCCATAAGATTCTCTACCTTTCTCCTTCTTCCCCCTTCTCTTTACCTGGATCCCACACCCCTGTTTCCTCCCCTTTTCTCTTCATCTTTCTTCTCTCATTTTTTAAACATTTATGTCATAGGGTCCCTTGTCTTTCCAAATCCTATCAGCTGCCATAACATTACCTTGGGCCAAAGGCTGTCCCTTTCCACCTCTGGTCCATCAAGTTCAATGCTAAAAGCCCAGAGACCACAGCCATGCCCTCCCCACCACAGTCCCTCCCAGATGTCCTGAGTGACACCCAGACTGACCTTCCATCTCCAGATCAGTGTGTCTTAACTTTTTTTTTCTTTTCTTTTTTTCCCAGACCTGAGGACCGAATCCAGGGCCTTGCGCTTGCTAGGCAAGCACTCTACCACTGAGCTAAATCCCCAACCCCATGTCTTAACTTTATGTCCATCCACGTATCACCCAGCCCCGCCACACAAGCATAGTCACACAAACGTCAGGTGCACAGTGACGAACCCTCACTCTAAAACCCACATGCAGAACAGATGCTGTGAGAAGCGGAGACTACTTAAGGATGGACACACAGCCTGGAGTCTGCTTCCTGCACCTACCATGTAGACCTCAGACTACAGCCTCCGGTCACACAGGGAGAGCACAGACATCCACAGCACTGGATAACTTCCTTTTCTCTCTGCAGGGCATGTGCACATCACAGACTTCAACATCGCCACGGTCGTGAAAGGAGCGGAGAAGGCTTCCTCCATGGCCGGCACCAAGCCCTACATGGGTGAGCATCCCACACTTGCACGTGGGCTTGGGGGTTCCCCCTTCTGGCTCCTCAGTGGCCACTCAGTCACCTCCTGTATCCTACTCAGGGCTCTACTTGCCTCAGTAGGATTCCTGCCCTCTGCAGCAAGGGGGCATTTCCATACTTGTGTGGAAATTTCCACACATTTCCAGCAACCCCTCCTTCCCTGGTTTTCTAACAAAAATGCCTCTGCAACAGGCAGGAACAAAACTTTGCCATCCTTTCTCAATAGAATCCAATAGCATTGCCAGAGTATCATTTGGCCTTGGTGTTGGCCATGCTGGATCTGTATTCCTAGGCACATGTTTGTCTGTCCTTGCCTGATTTCCGGTTGTTTGTTCTTGCAGCATCTTGTGACACCTGTTGGGTCTTCTCCTCTGATCTTCAGTTTTTGTCACTTTCTTTCTGCGCCTTCATGCCTTTCTTTAAAAAATAAATACATTTTTGGCATGTGTGTGCATGCATGTACATGCCTGCGTGCCGAAGCCTGTGTGGGGGAGGTCAGAGAACAACTCTCCAGCAGCTCGTTCCTTCCACCCTGCAAGTTCTGTAGATTGAACTTGAGTTCTCAGGTTTGGCAACAAGGGTCATTCCCCTGCTGAGCCGTCTGGCCATCCAGTCCTGCCTGTCTCTAGGAGTGTTGTTTGTAACTGCCTTAAGGTCCTGCTCCAGTTTGCTTTGTGTGCCTTCTGGTGTGGGCTTTATTTCTGAAATGCCTCTTTCTACTTTCCCCTAGCTTCTGGGGTATTTTTTTTTTTATTGTCATTTGTGATTTGTTTGGTCTTCCTAATGACGTCAGCAGTTGTTAATTCTGAATGCTGGCATTAGCCCTCAGCCACTGCCATATAAACCCCCTCAGAACTTCCCCCATTACAACGGTAGTGGTACACTGGTCCCAGAAGCTCTGTTGGTAGCCTGGGTGACTCCTCTGCCCATCTTGGCTTCCCACTCTCACTCAGGACATTCATGCAGAGGAGAAAGATGGCGGCCCTCCCTGTGTGGCCTCCACACATCAAGGTATCAAGGAGCTTGTTGAGCTTCTCCACCTGGTGGCAGTATTTCAAGATGGCACAGGGATCTCCACATGCTGAATGTCAGGGCTTGCATCTCATTTTCCAGAGCTTCCATTCAGCAAAACAAGTCATGTGACCAACCCTCTGAATGGGGCTGCCTGGGATGGGTTCTAGGAGTCCTGACTTACTCTGGAATGTTAATGAGGTGGCCCAGCCTGCCACAGAGTCTCTCAGCTGTATGTTCTGGTTTTCCTTGGCTGGTCTTCCTGTGCGCCTTTATGATAAGAGCCTCCGTCTGCTCATTCTGCTTCCATTTATAATATTTTTTTAAGAATGACCTTATCCTTTTCTGTTACTCTCTTTTAAGTAAAGCATGCTCTCTTAAGCATGGTGTCACTCAGGATAGCTCCTCTCGGTTCACAGGCTCACCTTGCCTCTCTGTATGAGGCATGCTGGGACCTGTGCAGGGGCGGGAACACTCAGTGCCAGAGCCCTTGTCTGGTTTGCTTGAGGTTCTGGGTTCGAGCCCCAGAACAAAGAGAAAGAGAATGAGAAGAATAGAAGTGGGGGAGGCCAGGCAGGCAGAGCTAAGACATGGTGCTTGTTGTGAGTGCCCGGTGCTGACCTCCACCCCATCTCTGCTGGAATCGAGTCCCCGCCCCCCCTCTGCCCGCAGCTCTCTGTCCCACTGCATTGTGTTTTCTCCCTTTTGCTGTGAACTGTCCTCCCACAGGCTCCTGTGTGAAAACACTTGGTCCTCGCTAGTAGCCTGTTTCAAAAGGCTTTGAGACTCTGGAAAGTCGGGGCCTCGCTGGAGGAGTGGGTCACCTCAGGAGCAGACACTGGCAGTCACAGCCCAGCCGGCTTCCGATTTCTGATCCACAGAGATGCCAGCAAGCTACCCCACTCTCCTGCTGTCCATGCAGCAGCTCTTGCCACCAGCATGGGCCATGCCTTCCTCAAGATGACTGCACTAAGCCAAGGCCTGCCTCTCTAGGCAGCCTCTGTCAGGTGTCTTGTCAAAGGGAGAGAAGTCATGAATGGTTTTCCTTAGGGAAGCGCCCACCTCCTTTGCCTCTGCCACACTGAGGCAGACTGCAGCCGCCTCCTCCGTTCCTCCGCTGTTCTCAGGCAGGCATTGGGCATCGGGGCATGCACACTGCCCTTCTGCATCAGGGCATGCACACTGCCCATCCGGGTCCCTCGCTCCCTGCTCTGAGGTTTCTCTCTGATTCTTTCTCTACAGAAACCACCACAGACTGATGAGTAAGGTCCCCAGAAGGCTATACACAAAGATTTCTCTAGAGGAGACGTTTGCCCAGAACTGAATTTTAATTCACCACAAGAGAAGATGGGGTTCTCCATTGATTTGAAGAAGCCTCTGTAAGATGTATCAGAATATGGTCAGAAATGCCCCCAGCTGCCACCTAGGGTTCCCCAAATCATTAAAATGAGATAGAATGGGAAGGGGACACTCCCTCAGCATATTTTTAGGAGTGCAAAGGGAGTGTGACATTCTGAGGGGTACATAGGGTGACAGATGAAACACTGGTCCTTACTGCTCAGACCTGGGGGAGCAGAGACAGGCAAGTGTCATTACATGGGTATCACAGTCAGAGGCACAGGGAGAAACAGCAGCTCCTCCAGGAAGGGGGGGTGGGGGTGGGGGTGAAGATGACCTCTTCATGGGTAGTCAGATGGGTTCCTGCAGAAGGTGACACAGAGGGCATGTTCTACTGGATAAAGACAGGGAAAGGAACTGAGGCTGAGGGAACAGCCTATGTCAAGAGGAGCAAACCAGCATTGAGAGCTGGGATGTTCCATTTCATTATAGATAAGAGAACAGAAATAGGTCAGAGAGGAGGCAGATCAAAGCCTGAGGACAAGCCATAGGTGACCTGGAAGGAGCATCAGGGGCTAGGTGTGATGGAGATAGGTTCATTGAGAGTCTGGCTCCCCAACAGATAAAGTGAGTAAGGGGTGACTCCTAGGATCCAACATAATGCACATCAATTACCCCTTGAGATAAGCTTCAGGAAATGCTAATCAGAAAACTGCCAGCCAATCTTAGCTGCCTGCTCTGGGAAACAAGGTGGTAGGTAATGGGTGCAGTGTGCCTTAGTGGGTGTCTTAGTTAGGTTTCTATTGCTGTGACAAAACATCATAATCAATGCAACTTCTAAAAATAAAGGATTATATGTAGGACTCACAGTTGCAGAGGATTAGAATCCATGACCATCATGGCTGGGAGCATGGCGACAGGCAGGCAGGCAGCAGCTGAGAGCTCACATCTTGATCCACAAGCACAAGGCAGGGAGAGAACTAACTGCAAATGGTACGGGCTTTTGAAACCTCAAAGTCCACCCAGAGACACACCTCCCTCCAACAAGGCCACACCTCCCAGCCCTTCCCAAACAGTTCTACCAACTGGGGACCATGAATTCAAATACATGAGCCTATGGTGGGGGCATTCTCATTCAAACCACCACAATGGGTATTGGTGGGGATGTCATGGCAGAATTGTAGGAAGTACACAGCCCTGTACCTGGAAGGCGGCCAGATGTTGTCATTACTGTTAGCAGCATTATTACCTGCATGGCTTCCTGTGCTAAGTACTATGGCCAGGACCTATGCTAAGTGCTTGAGGCCAGAGCTGAGCTCACATTTTCCTGCTTTTGGAGCTCACAGTTGAGCGGCAGAAGCAGGCCCTAAAGACGTCTTAATCCGTCACTGGTGAGAACACCAGGAGACATGAGACTAACACACACTTTGTCCTTGCCTCCTGTCACTCCTGTCCCCAAGAAGGTTGTGGTGAAAAAATGTGGGTATTGTGGGAGGTCACTAAAGCAATGCATGCACTCTCTCAAGAGAAACTACTAGTTCAGGAGCATGCAGGTGGCCACTCTGTGTGCCAGAGAAGGCTGCAGAGCCAGCAGTCAGCCCAGGTCACCAAGGCCCATGAGCTTCCCTGTGACCCTTTTGTGAATCCATTCCTTCATACACTTTAGGGTATCCTGTGGTATTATATTTCCCCAAATATTGTGCATGCCAATAAACTTATCTGGGGTCAGAGACAGAACAGCCACAATATTAAACATAAAGGATAGGCAGTGGTAGCACACGCCTTTAATCCTAGCATTCCAGAGGCAGAAATCCATGTGTTCAAGGATACAGCCAGGCATGGTGACTCATCACGCCTTTAATCCCAGAAAGCAAGCCTTTAATCCCAGGGAGTGGTGACAGAAAGCAGAAAGGTATATAAGGCATGAGGACCAGAAACTAGAAGCATTTGGCTGGTTAGGCATTTGACTGGTTAAGCATTCAGGCTTTTGAGCAGCAATTCAGCTGAGCCCCATTCTGGATGAGGACTCAGGGGCCTGCAGTCTGAGGAGACAAGACCAGCTAAGGATCTGGCAAGGTGAAGTAGCTGTGACTTGTTCTGTCTCTCTGATCTACCAGCATTGACCCCAATAACTAGCCTCGGGTTTGATTTTATTAATAAGAACTTTTAAGATTCCTGCTACAGTATCCTACATGCCAGGCAGTGCCCTAGAGACTGAAAATACATCTGAAACCAAGCAGCACCCCTGTCCTCTTTGGTGGGGCTGTTTGTGGAGGACAGTCCCTTGAAATATCATCACTGATAAATGTGTAATTTGAGATATTTCTTTTCTTCATTTTTATGTGAATGGATGTGTTGTCTTCATGTATGCCTGTGTACCAGGTGCACGCCTGGTGGACACAGAAGCCAGAGGACAGAATCATAGCCCCTGGAACTGGAGCTATAGATGATTGTGAGCCACCATGTGGGCGCTGGGAACAGAACCTGGGGACTCTGGAAGAGCAGCAAGTGCTCTCAACAGCTGAGCCGTCTCTCCAGGCCCAAAGAATCTTTTCTAAAGCAGCAGTTTTAAATGTTGACAAGGACTAAGTTTGCACTTCACACTTGTTAACCACCATAACTAA